ATATATATATATATATATATATATATATATATATATATATATATAGAGAGAGAGAGAGAGAGAGAGAGAGATTCTGAATTAACTTATTAGATTAAGACTCTTTATTGATTTGGTTTAGTCATGATTGTGATTTGATGGGATTCGGAGCGGGATAGTACGCAGGTTTTCTGAAAAGTTTCATTCTATCGATTTGCCTCTATTTCAGCTAATCCGTCTTGATCATCGGTGATTTTGAGCATCTGATTTTAGTCGATTGACGCATAGAACATGTTCGCAGGGAAATAGGACACCTAAACTGTCCGGAAATGTGTTTTTTATTTCCTCCAGTAGTTGGTAATTTCATCGGGATTTCACGAGAAAATTCGAATTGTTATCGTTCAGGCTGATTGTTTTTGCTGCCATTCACTAAACCATTGGGAGATACTTGGTTTTTTATTTTTTTCCATTAGTCCTTCTTATTTTTGCCAGCTGTTTTAATGTTGTCGGTTTGAAATGAATTATAACGAGTAGCGAGGTGTGCAGTTTGTTGGCAGAACACTCTGTTGTTTTATACTGGACGTATTAATTACACTAATTTTTTTTGTCCGATTAACAAGCAGCAACTGGCAAGGCGAATTTATCCGCTTCAGAAAAAAAAGCATTGTGTTAACGACCTTTATATTTTTCGTTGGTATTTGCACCTGGCCATATTGCAACCTACATGGTCTACATTTTTGACTGGTCTCTCTGACATGAATTCAGAAAAGCTCCCGGGTAAAAGTGTATTACATTCTTTCCAAATGCTTTCATTAGAAACTGTGTCATTATCACTAAAAAACAATGATTTGAAATGGCAAGGCATATTTTACATTTCGGTATATTTATTAATTCTAGAACAATGGCAAATGTTAACAATAACAGTGAAATGAGAAGTTTAAGTTTATTTCTTTGAAGTGCATTTATATTATATTAAATTCTCGTCCTCCTGTTAACTTCTGGCTCTCCTGGTTCTATTCATTATTTCTTTGACAAGTTCTTTTCGTGCTAGCAATATACTTTCAATATACAGTCGTTCTTTTCAACATGTACGTTAAATACCTCAAAAATGACCGTGCAACTATCAAATGAGTCTAATTTCGTTTTTTGATGGGTTTAAAGGTTACGGATGCAGTCTAAATGCTTGTAACAGTGCCATTATACACTAATATTCTGTTGTCGTATTTGGTGTATATCGTAATATTATTATTACATGTAGATATGTAGTCATATATATGCCTCATGGATGTTACTTCTAGGAGTTACGAAACGAAAAGGTTCTATGAAACTGCAGGAATCAAATAACGAAGGAATATAAGAATATAAAAAAACAATAGCACGACGTATTTCGAACTGGTGAAGATTTCAATATTGTTAACTCACTGATTCAGTTAAGATAATCCCGTGATTGTAAGATGTATGTAAAGCACGATCAAGATTGCTTGAATTTTTTGATCCATTTCGTAATGATATCAGGATACGATCACACATAGGGGGCACAACAGTGGCAGTCCCATCTGACCTAAGCCTTTGGCTTTCTGTTCAACTTCATCATTTTCTTGTGGGTTGGCTGAGGAGTCGCATTTTTACCTGTGATTATCACTTGCTGAAATATGAGGTCCAATGTTACTACTGGAAGCAAATCCTATCGACTTCTTTTGGAGTAGTTATGATGTGTTCATCTCCCAATAGCGACTAGTAGTTGCAGATGCATCGAGAGGTTGGATCCAGTCCATAGTGGTAATTTGATCTGAAGTGGCGTTTTTTGAATCCAATTTGGAACATTCGAAATGCTTGAGAAATTCGAATTTTTTAAGTTAATGATAGAGTAGGCTTTGAGTTTGCCATATATTCGCTCTATGAAACCTTAAAGAGATATGTGCAATAAATTTAAAAAAATGCTATAGCAAACAAAATTTTTCATTGACATTAATAAAAGTAGTTAAGGGGAGAGAGAGGAGTGAGCATAAATAAAGTAAGTCCCATCAGTGTGAATGCTACAAGAGCAAGAGTTAAAAAAACGCTCCAAAATAAAAAAAAGTAACCATACCCAATATTTCATCTTGTGTAAACTTATGAGTATCTTAAAAGTTTAATATTTTTCCAAAAAAAAAACCCTAAAAAGAGAATTTTGTTGAAAATCAAATTTTATTTCAGAATTTGCAACTGATTTGGTCCAGGATTTAGTTGCATGTTATGGTGCAGTATAAAGGCAATAAAGACAACATAAAGTTAGTCGCCTTTGAAATTAACTGAAAAACAGAGAAGAGGGAGGAGGCAAGCTTAGTAAGAAGCTGCATATCTGTAAGTTTCCATGGCAATATTGACTTAACCAGCGCAACAAACAAATTTTCGCTTTTTTTGTGTTCCCATTGAAGGAATCGGTGATTGCTATTTCAGTGATTCGTCTTCTTCGTCAAAAAAGCACTTCTTTTCTGTTATAGCTGCCGTTCGAACTTTCTTAGTTGATTGTAAGCAAAGTTGCATATGCTCTGCTTTTTGCATACCCTTGTTTTTCATAGCGCATAAAAACCATTACATTTTTGGTTACCGAAATGTTACTGTATCTTAATTAGTCAATAGCCAAATCCAAAGTTGAGCGATTCTTGGGCGGTATGGTGTCCGCACCATTTAGACCACGTTCTGCCATCGGGAAATCAGAGGCAGTCAAGGTGGTGGTCCGTTGTCGTCCATTATCGGCTTCTGAGATACGTGATGGCCACCAAAGGTAAGTACTTAACCGGTTAGTTTGAAGCAAAATAAACTAATTTACTATGGTATTTTATATTTTTGACGAGTAAATTGAAGTATATGCATATATATAGAACTTGTTTCTGATTACTATCTCATCAGTGCTTTAACTTGCTGTCACTTCTGATGCTTACCTATTTCAAGAATTTCATTAGCTGATTTAAGATCTACTAACGTGTTTTAATGCATGTTACTTTCGCCTTTAGTACTTAGTCTGTTTTAATTTTAGTACTTAATTCTAGTATTGTGGATATTCAAACAAACCGTGGTGTAATTGAATTACACAATCCAAAAGAACCAAACGAACCTTCGAAAGTATTCACATTTGATTCAGTTTATGATCCACAGTAAGCAGTTATTGTGAAAATTCTTATAACATAATATTTATTTAATATTCGAGACCATTATAATGGATGCAAATCGCTTCATAATTTGTGGACGAAAAGTATTAAGATCAAAAATAAAGAAATGGATTTTTGCTTTCCAACTCACAGAAATTGCTCTTAATGAGTTGGAAGCGCTTTTTTTATACTTTGAAGTTCGAAACAACTCGATCTTTACGATGAAACATTTCGCCATGTTGTCGATTCAGTGCTTGAAGGATTCAATGGGACGATTTTTGCATATGGTCAGACAGGGACCGGAAAAACGTTCACAATGGAAGGTTGGACTTCATCTTGAAAGTTGGCATTTTTTTATCACAGCATAATTACTAGTAATCGAAGCAGGGTATTGAAACATTCTATTAATATGTTAAATGCCTTGAAAAGTGCTGAAGAAAGGGATACTAATCTAGTATAGTCCAAGGTTGTTTTTTCTTATCAAAATATCAAGTTTGACAGTCAGTATCCTACTCTTCAACAAAAAATTGCATGTGATTACTGCATAATATGTGTAAAACAATTAGTCTCTTCAGTTAAGTGAGGACTGAAATACTGTTCTCCCAAATGTTAAAAAAAGAAAAATTGTGCAACATTCATTTTTGTCTGGATCTTATCCGATACAAGGATTGTCTAGGTGCTCACGAAGATCCTGAATTGCGTGGCGTCATACCGAACGCATATCATCATATTTTCCAGCACATTGCGCAATCACGGAATCAACAGTATCTCGTGCGAGCAAGCTATTTAGAAATTTACCAGGTTTTTAGGATTTCTCTCCTTTCGTTTTTCTAAGGTTCCAATGGTATGAATACTTACTTTAATAAATAAATTGATATGATGATTTGAGAAACTTGCTGGGTGCAGTTTCACTTGAAACTTGTTGGGTGCAATTTCACTTACCTTACACAGTTCTATTATTTGAAAAATAATATCCACCACAAAACTTTATATATATATACTTGCTTAGTAAATTATGTTAAAAAGTCAATAGTATCAGTTGAAAATAGCGGAAGATTATACTAAATCGGAAGGATTTAATCAGTTATCTTTTTTCTTTTTTTTCTTTTTTTTTTAATTTTTAGGAAGAAATTCGTGATTTGTTGAGTAGAGATCCGAAAATACGTTTAGAATTAAGAGAGCGTCCGGATGTTGGTGTTTATGTAAAAGATCTTTCATCGTTCGTAACAAAATCTGTGGAAGAAATTGAGCACGTTATGTCAGTCGGCCATGCAAATCGTACAGTTGGGTTCGTGCAGCATTTTTTGTTCTTTTTTTTTGAAACACATTTTGTACGGACGTGAGAAATGCATGCTTTAATTATGATGTTATCATATCATACCATAGCAGAAGTGGATGTGTTTTTGATGTTGTCTTTTAGAAAATGAAGAAGGAAGTGTTCAACGGCTTGCATCAATTAACACTTTAATGACTAAAATGTTCAATTTTCAGGAGAACAAATATGAACGAATATAGTAGCCGTTCACATGCAGTTTTCATGGTGACTGTTGAATGCAGTGAACCCGGTTTGGATGGTCAGAATCACATAAGGTGAACACACCGTTATGTAAATTAAAACTAGCACCAAGTATGTAAACTAAAACTAGCACCAAATCCTTTTCTAGAGTCGGGCGCTTAAATCTGGTAGACTTGGCAGGTAGTGAGCGTCAGTCAAAAACGGGATCGCATGGTAAGCATTTCAAAGAAGCAACAAAAATCAACTTGTCTCTTTCTGCTCTTGGCAATGTTGTATCAGCATTGGTTGGTGGAAAAAGTACTCATGTGCCGTACAGAGATTCGAAACTGACACGTCTGTTGCAAGGTATTCTAGCTATTTTCATATGTTGGAAAGGTTTTATCATGACCAAAGTCATTGGAAAACATTCAACCACATCTTCAGGTTACTGATTATCTTGGTAATGGTTATCTCCGCTAATATGAACAACGTTTGTAAGGAATTGCTTTCAGATTCACTGGGCGGTAATTCGCGAACCGTGATGGTTGCTAATATTGGACCTGCGTCCTATAATTACGAGGAAACCTTGTCTACATTGAGATATGCAAATCGCGCAAAAAAAATCAACAATCAGCCGAGGATTAACGAGGATCCCAAAGATGCACTTCTTCGAGAATTTCAGGTTCTCTTTAGTATCTCACTACATGTTTATGCATTAATGCGAACTAACCTTCAAAATATCGCATTCCCGAGTTTTTTTATTTCTCGATTTTATTAATATTGTTTTATTGTTATTATAACGATGTATTTTGTTAAGGATGAGATTGCAAGGCTTCGAGAAATTTTGGAAAAACGTGCTATTAAAAAGGAAAAGAAGGTGTATCTGGACGAAAAAAGCGAAAATGATGACGAAGGTTGGAGGAAAATGCAAAATTTCCCTAGCAGTTATTATATTCAGTGAAAAGCCTCATTTAATGAGATGATTTTGCAGCTGCTCCAAGTGAAGAATATCTTGATGAACAACGGAAGCGTTTGGAAGATGAAAGACAAACCATTATCTCTAATTCAAACATTATTGCGGAGGTAATAATAAAACTATTTCACTTGCGACTTGAGTATGACAACAGCTTCGGAATTTGAACTGAATGCACTTTTTATTCGAAATAGGAGCTTTAAATACGGTTTGAAGGAAAAGCGAAAGATACTTGCCGATTTGGAAGAAAGGGTTAGACAGCTGGAAAGGGAACGCGGGGCGCAAATTGCTGTAGCTGCGAAGATCCGAGCAATGCAGAGCAAACTTCTTTCTGGTGATGGCAGTTTATTAGATAAAACTCGTGAACAGCAAAAATTGCTAGAATACCGAAGAAGACAATTGGCTGAACAAAAGGTCTCAAATATTCATTCAAAGATGAGCTTATGGCAGGATAATTAAATGATTTTGATTATTTCATTTATAAATATATAATTGTTTATGGATTTTTCTACCTAATTCTTACGGCGATTTATAAAAGGTGTATTTAAGAGGAAGGAACGCGAAATTTTGCAGCAGTTGGAAGCCCAGGAAGATAATACGGCAGAAATACATGAAACTTTCAGTAATTTGAGGCAAGAAGTTGAAATAAAAACAAGGAAACTGAAGAAGTTATATTCCAAGCTCCAGCAGGCATATTTTTTTTCTGCTCAACCACAGAAGTTTGTCTAAGCTTGGAGTGGAAATTAGACCACTACAATAAATCAAACAATGAAATTGTTCAGGTTCGTTCGGAAATCAATGACGCCTCGGCAAGTCATTCACAGGAGAGGCGAGATTTAGAAAACTCGGTTACCGAAATCAATAAAGAGCTAAAACTCAAGTAAACTTTTCAGTTATAATATGTTAGCGGTATCAGTGGATCGTTTGTACATTATGGAAGAATGTTTTTTAGTTATACTTTCTGAAATTAGATTTAAAAAATTCATATTTCTAATACTATTATCTCGTGTAGACTGTTGATTGTGGAAAATTTTGTGCCACAAGACGTTTGTGATCGTTTACGTGAACGAGCATACTGGGATGAGGATGAAGATACTTGGAAACTTTTGAAAGTTGGACAAAATCGGCCCAGAAGCACTTCATCCGAAGAAATATGTCGCTCAGGTGGCACTGATTCCGGATTAGGCGTCAGTGATACCTCGACTAACGTTGATTCTCTTGCCCAAGATCTTCTTAACAACCGACCGGTAAGTAAATGCCTGGTAGATATATTTTGCAAGTGGATATTGCACTATAAATTACCAAAGATATTTACTTCTAGAAAAATTCAAAAAAAAGGTAGGAAAATATAAAGTAATAAAATAATTCAGAAAGAAATGAATTGTTTACACTAAGGTTAACCATGATTTTTCTTTTCTCAAATGGCATTCAATTTATGCAGAATAAGTGATAACAAGCAGCTTAACATTGCAGGTGTCGATACCTGGCATGAGGCGACCTATATGTGACTACGAGCGAATGTGTTTAACAAGGTTGCGACAACAGTTAAACACGCAATCAAAATCTAATCGGTTAAAATGTGCTAGTTGTCCAGACGAAACTGGCACCATGATGTTGGAAGGGGTGGGTTTGTTCGAATATTTCAATTTTTCAAAAATTGCTAGTGAAATCACAGATTTTGTTTGGAATGAACTTTGCAAACACTCATACAAAATGATGGCAGACAACTTAACATTGTTTTGATATATCAACAACAAAATCATTTAATGGATCTTCATAGGTTTTGCGATTTTGTGGTGAAAATGTATTGACATTCACTTCATTGGAAAAGTTGGAAAGGCGAACAAAGCTATATGGAACTTCAGAAGTCGAAGCTGATTTAAAGGTACATGCGTTTTGAAAACGTATCATTTTATGCAGAAAATATCCTTCGACTTTTCAGAAATCTCAGGACATCGTCAATTTTGCGCACTATGACGATGAACAGGAACAGAATTTTGTTGTTGATATTTCAAGAATTCCAGTGCTGCAAGATTCAAACCATACCGGTCGGTTTCCCATTTCGAATTGGTCGATGCTCAGAAATTCTTCACTATCAAGGTCATTACTGCTTTTGTAATTAATTCCCATGTCTCCCGTTGGCTGCATGACAATGGCTTGAGGTAGACTGCTGCGTTTCAAAGAACAGTGAAATATGATTGAAGCACGTTGTAATAGTAGGTCATATGGGCAATTACCCATTAAGAGGCCATGCCAAAAAGAGTGGTTTTCAAAACAGACATCCTTAGTTAACCCTTATCAAAGTGTTGTTTTCTCATTGCATTTCAGACTATCATCAGCACATTCAAAAAACGTACGGGCTCGCAGTGCGCTTGGAAGAGTGATAACAGCTTCGAACGGCAACACACTCATTTATCCGAAAACTGGAGGTTTGGTAAAGAAAAGAGACAACCAGCCGTAGCTTCAGAAACCTTATTCAAGCATGTATTGCAACAAAATCATCTCATAATTTATTTGCTTTGGATTTTTTACATCAACATTATTCACTGGATAATTTGTGCCAGTCTTCGTTATTAACTCTTAATGGCTCATATGTTCAAGAAGATTCTTCATATATTAAAAGCCGTGCTTTTTTTCCCGGGAATTTCTACTATTATTGCTAATACAGTTGCCAAATCTTTTATTCCCTATTCACCTTTCTTAGATATCCCTAACAATATATTGTATCAGCACGGTGAATTGTCAACAGTAGGTGGCGTCAATCACAGTACTATTTGGATGGGGAAACTAAGAACAGTTTTGAGAAAGCATCTTTGCTCACACAGAGTTTCGCTACCAATAGCAACTCGCGATATCAAGATTTCACCGCAAGTGTAACAGGAAGCTCCAGAAATAACGGGCTAAATTTTGTTGAAAACGACAACGCTATGCAGCAGAAGTTTGAAAATCGGATGTGAAATTCATGTTATGGGCAAATTTATGGTGACGTCAAGAATTGGATGACGATAGGTCACACAAACACATTATATCAAAGTTTCTTTTCAGTAACATCTTTCATTACGAAGGAGGTAATGTTTGTGGAAAAAGTCGTAACAACAGCAAAATTCCACTACTGATTACGATTTACAAGGTTTATATACGTGCTTCATTTGTTCCTTATTGATGCTTTTAATGATTGTTGCCGACCTTTGTAATTTTTGCTTGAGCCTTTTTACTCTCACAAAAAATCTCATGATCTTCCTTCCATATATTTCCTCATAGCAAAATATCGATTAGAAAACAGATATGAACGAATTACAGTCTATACATATTCTTATATGTTATTTGATTGTGATTTTATAAGTTCTCTTTATTGTAGGTCAGAAACTACAGCAGCGCAATGTTCGCAGTCTTCTAAAAATCACAATTTGTTCATTCGGTCTTTTTCGACACCTACAAGGGGAAGTGTGCTTTTTTAATGCAGAATAACACTTTTATTAAAAATTTTAAGGACTTGAAATGTGGATATTTATTCTCTCTGCATTACTTGAAATTTTGCTTGAAATAGCCTTCTGAGGATGACATTATTAAGCTTCATTTACTATACAAAGATGAGTAAATATAAAACCAAGAGTATCTAAATTATCTAATTTAGACATTCATTTTAGTCAATAATCTTATAAATTCTCTAACGATGAAAGGCTCTTGTGAAAGAATTAGAGTAAATGGTCTTTCCTTCAAGAAACTCCCTTCAATATTTCAAAGCAATTATTGGAAAGATGTGCATTCTGGAGACAACAAAGCGTAGCATCATACGCGTCTAGGTAAATTGCCAATCGTCCGATTTTCCATCCGCAGTGTCATCCTGATAGTGAGCACAGGTGGTATATAAAAAGTCAAAGTTGGAGTACATAATTCATGGGAAAATATTATGTTATTAGGTGATAAATGAAAAATTGATATTTTCGGAATATAGTATGTATGAGTGCGTTGCAGGCCTGTCCGATATCAAAATATTTTATTCGGTCTTTGTTTACCTGTAAATAATACGGCTAAATGGATGTTAATCACATCATTCTCATGTTTTTTGCTGCAGAAATTAATTTTCCTTTGCAATAACTTTATGATTTCTTATAGAGTGTGATATATCCATTGCTTGTTTTACCTAAATAACTGAAAAGGTTTTGTGAATGGTTTACTTCGGTGTTACGAAATGTTTGCGACGATTACCTCATACGTGCTCACTATGATGATTTACAATGTTTAGTACATTTTCCATTTAATCTTTGTATATTCATGTAATTTTGCAACGAGTTTGTCTTAACAGTGCTTGTATTTTATTGTTGTGCGAACTGATGTAATCGTGACTTGATGTATTCACTTAAATCACTTCTTAATAACTTAAGTTTGTAGTTTGAAATTAAAAGGTTTTATAGGAAATATGATATCAAAAAGTTTAGAGGTTTCATTACATGCCTTACACAGTTTTTCTCTGGCAAAAAAAAAAAATTAAGTTGCAAGTTATGAGGTGCAGAACGTTTAATCGTATCAAGGGAATCAATATGATCTTTAGCGAATGAATCATGAAGTTTTTTGTTTAGGAAATTTTGGTTTTGGCTTTCATGCAAATTTCTGCATGTATTGTGTAACAAATCGTGCAGTTGCTTCAGGTAAACCAACATATCGTAAAATGGAAATAAAACTAGCGGTACTACCGCATGGCGAATAAAGTCAAGGTGCATAAAATGTCAAGTAACGCGTTCTTCGACACTCTTCCGACACTCACATTTGATAATGGTGGAAGGTTTATTACTATTCAAAGTTAAAACAGGATAATCTTAAATGAGATGAGAGTGATTAGATAAGGTGGCAGAGTTATAATTTCAAAAAAAGAAGTTCAAAAACTTGAGGGGATAGTGATGAAATGTGTTTTTGGAAGCACTTTTAACAAAATATTTGATTTGACAATAACATATGCATTTGCTTGAAAATTATCCGAAAAATACATTGCAAACTTTGGGAAATAAGATGCCAGGGATTGGATTTTACAATTTATAATAGCACTATTTTCCGATCCCGATTATGTTGAATCTGTTTTTTAGACTGTAAAAGTGTTCATATTCAGGTGTTGGGACGTCCCTAATGTCGGTGATCATTGCAAAAACTACACAATTTTCTAAACGTTGATGAATTCCCATCATTAGACACTGGAAGAAGTTTCATATTCCCTCTTTCCTTGGCAACTATTCCATATTTCCCCTTCAATACACTTTTCAAAGAAGTGGAAAATCTCCCTGTTATTTGTTTTTTACTCCAAAATAAATCCCATTGTTTTAAATTCATTTAAATTGTACTTGTTACTGCCTTAGCTTACCATGGGTGAAGAATGAAAACTATAGCAAGGAAACTTCCCACTCAAAAGTCTCAGTTTTTAAGTGATCGGGAAGTCACTGACAAGTCTATGAAAGATTAAACGGCAGATTTAGGCTTTGTCATTTTTAATGAGCAGTCAAGTGATAAATTGTTATAATTGAACAGTTCTGGTGATATTGGTGGTAAACTGAGATAACTAACTCGTCCTCTGCTTTAATGATTTTAAAATGAGTTAAAAAAGTGGGTATACTTTTTATTTTTTTCTCCATGCAATAAATCATCGGTTGAATATTTAAATATTTTTCTCCATGCAATAAATTATCGGTTGTGTCTGTTAATGGCAAATAGTTGACACAAACAAGTAATGAAATGGGAGGCAGATAGATAGGTAGATAGATAAAGAAGGAGAGAGGGATTAGGAAAAGAAAGGTCAACGAAAGAGAAAGTATGGAGCGTTATTTTAGACAGAATCTACGAGTAAATTCTTATTACGACTTCCGGTATTGGAAACCGGTATTGTTTTTTGAAAAGAGCGAGACTTTTTGTGCAGTGCTAACACACCAGTTTTCCACCTATGTTTACTAATGTAATTTCAATCTTTTTCGCAAACTTTTTATCCCATTGATGTGACTCTGATACTCTAACAGTAATCTCGTCCACGTCTGATACAATTGTTAGTGTTGCTGACAAACTGATTTAAATTGGTGAGTCAATTTGCCCAGCTTGTTAGAAATTTTTAGAGGAGAGGAAATAGTGATATCCTGTGCTAAGGTGAAGTTGTAAGATCCACATGTTTCATGACATTGCCGAAGAATTATAAATAAACCAATGTGCAACTTCTCACTGAATATGTCAAAACTATCATGTGATATTGCAAAATTTTGACACTAAAAAATTTTGATTCAACAAAATCATCAAAAACAGTCCCAAGCAATAGAAGTTAAGAGCCGAAATTTAAATCAAAAGTTGAATTCGTATACTGAAATGATGGATTGAACGAATTAAGTAAAAACAGTCCATCGAAAGGAATAACAGCATTACTGGCGAGCAGTATTATATGTTAATGCGATATGGCAAGCGATAAAGGCATTCTTATCACCGCTGAATTCTGAATTTTAGAGAATTTGAAGAATTTTCTCACAATGCTCCAGACCTCCTTCATTAGGATATCTGTTTTTCTACACCTTTATTTCATGAACATAAACCCAATTAAGTGATATGTGACTAGCCTTAAAAATAGGTAATTTACTTCACGAAAGTTATGTTAAATTATCAAACTGTTCATCAAAAGCTATCTCTGAATTTATTCCCACCTAAATTTGTTTGCGACAGAATTTCGAATTTGATATTTATGGCTTTATAGTTATTCATTTTAGTAAGCTCCTCTTATGTTGCTAATGCGCATTATTTCATCACACTATCACTTTCTCGCACATGTCCGACCGAAAGCGTTACATATGCAAGATGACGTCGTTGTATGCAAACATATCTTTTTTTTTTCCTTTTTTTGTCCATTTTGCTGTTAAGCACTAATATAGAAATATAATTTCTGGTTCTAAGAAAGTGTAAAACTTTTAATATTTATGGGAAATCTTCTTGATTTTCACAAAAAGTCTTTTAAAAACTGTATTAGAATCACAATGAAAAATCAAAAATTAATTTTCCCAGCATATGCTTTACCTTTAAGAAATATAGAAGCCGTCTCCATGTTTTCTGCACTCTGTTTAATTGCTTATAAATCATCATAAGACAAAGAGCATGGAATTACCTTCGATTTTTGCGATCAAGTAAAGAAACGTACCCAAATCAATTCATGGTGAGATTTCTTGGACTATTTTCGGGTAATTTCTAAAATGAGCTTTTTTTTGGTTTACCGTCTAAGGAACCTTTGCTTCCAATATTTGTATCAGATGTGGTAGAACTTTAGTTTTGACCTTAAAAAATTTACTGAACAACTACTACCTTTCAAGTTAACAACAATAAAAAAGACGTTAGAGAAGTAACAAGTCTAACAAAGCATTTTTACGAATGAAATTTTAAAGTTAGGACGATTATGCCCACCATTTATAGAAAAATAATAAACTATGTGCGAACGAACGAGATCTGAACGATTTATGAAGTCATGGTTTTGGAAATATTCTAGTGTTGACATGTACAATAGTGGTGATGACCATGAATTCTCCAATGATTATGTTCTGGAAAGACAAAAGTACCTCTATGAAAGAGTATGGAAATACTTTTGATTTTTGATATAATTTAATCCTAAATTCCTTTCTTGTTGCGTTAGAAGCGAAATGCTGCTAATTTAATTAGGACTAGATATGACTTCGGGTCACTTTAAAAAGTAAAACATCGAAAAGCTAAATGATTTTGTTCAGTTACTCTCGTTTATTGTAATTCTTGGAAAATCTTTCCAGTACATGTCTTTTGCTTTCATTTCAGCTTCTGAATTATATCGTTTACTTTATGTGATAGATATACGTGGTATGGGACACCAAATTTAAAAAGCTGAAGATGCTTCAAATAACATCTGTCGTGACAAAGATTTCATATTTTTTAATGACGAATTAATTGTTTCTCATGGGAAGGTGGCGTTCACGTCAGTAGTTCATAAAAGTTTCTGATGAAGTTGGAAACGAAACAGCACCATTGTAAGAATTTTTCAAGTATTCGCTGTCCACACTGTAAATGGCATGAAAGAGAAGACGGGGGAAGCTAAGCTAGAAGAATAGAAAGTGTAGGGAAGAGAGGGAAAGACAAATGCATGTCATGTAATGATGATGGAGGCAATGATAATGATGCCATTTATAGAAACTGCTGAATGGAGCAATGCTTATTAAATGTGATGTTGGCGGTGAGATATACCTCCGGCAAGGTTTCCCATGCCAGAAAGTCTCAATTGAAAGGTGGGACAAAGTGTGTCCATGGGTAAGATGGACTCGTTAACCTCCCGGCAACTAACCTAGGGAAGGACAATTCTAACTCCAAACCCAGGAAGATGGAGTTCACTTAGTACTGTAAAGGTCCATCGAAGAGACGGATATTTCAAAACCAATACCTGAGGACTTCGTTATCACCGTCCTACCTCGCTAAACCGTGGCTGATGAACCCTAGGAGTGAAAAATTGGAGCAGTCCTACACACGTTGTGTTTCACCTAAGATATCCTCTACGCAAGCTGGAAAGATATACTCACATTTGTAGCGTTTGCGGTAAGCGTAAGTAATGCCCTTCCCAAATCTTTGTACACGAAGCTTAGCGATGATGATGATATTAAATGATAAGTAATCAATTCTACATTTGGACCAGTTCCCTTACCTCAAAATTAGATTATGGTGTCGTGGAACTCGACGGTAACCAAGTACTTTTACTGAACTGGAATAATCGGTACAGGTGACTGGTTGGATTGGAATCGTTCACTTAGATCGTCGGTAGCTCCTACTCTAGTTTGGGGAAATTCGGCTTGGAATGATTGGAGAGCGGCGGTGAAGCATCGGAGTGCCGGTAAGCATGTAAACAGAACTAATCCCTGTGAGTGGCTCCATCCGTTTTATAACAGTATTGAACAACAGAGAGTTATACGAAGGGTTGTATGTTGATAAATACAGAGAGAAAGAATTATATGATGATAAGTTAGGAACATGAGGTTAAACCGTTACAATAGGCACTTTGTCTATCATCGTAATCATGGCGATTCAGACAATAAGATAATAAGAAAGGTTTACAACGTATGGGGCTTTGTTCATTTCGGTGGATATGATGATCTGGACCGTTGAATAATAAAAATTTTAACATTACCTCTCAAATTCAAACATTATCCTCTCACTGCATATTATGCAAATATAATCAATATATCAGGGAAAGAACTATATGGATTATTTAATCAGAATACTAGAAAAATAGTTTCGGATTTTCCCGACATATGGTGGGATAGACTGCTATGTTGGAGGAGGGAAATGTATATATTTCATCATATATATGGAAGCAATCACTGTCACGAATAAACATTTTTTGCTTCCCAGTGTTTCTTTTTCTTATCATTTAAACAGTATGTCCAGTTTCACTTTTTCACAGGCAGACTAGTACTTCAGATAGCTTCTTTTCTACGCCAGTAATATTTATGAAGTTGCACTTCTGAGCATCTGTCGCCGGTTCTATTGTTACTTTCGGTTGCATTTGGTGTCGTCAAAGGCTTGTTATCCTTTCATGTATGACTGAACTTTGATTTTAATAGGTCTAAACTTAATGCTTTTTTAAATGGTACCCAATAACTAAATGTTTTTTTAATGTTACTCAATAACTGAATGCTTCGTCCCTTTTCTTTCCAGAATTATACCAAAAGGTTATGAAGATGTCAGGAAGTTAAGTTAGCTGGCTGGTGTGTTTTTTGCTGTCTTACTCATTTTTATGAAATTGAAGGTTAGTTCCATAATTTCATTGCTTACAAATTTTCCAACATTGCCGTATTCCTGGCTTAATTTTAAGATAGTTCAGACCACAAATATATGGAAATGTCTCTGGTTCTAATGCTCATCTATTGTGAATTGATTCACTTACTTGGAACGTTTAAATTTTTTGAAATTTTACATGTTATACAGTCGAATATCTAAACTGCAAAAATCTTAATTAGTGTGGTCCGCAAAGAATTTAGGGGTAACAGTTGATGAATTCTTCAAGTGGTAGCCAGTTTTATGGCTTGTTGGAGTGTTCTTATGTTGCATACTTATGGATTTCCTGGTCACTATTGTCGTATGCTGAAGAATTTAGAAAAGGCCAGAAAACTGTATTTTCGAACGTGCAAATGCATACGAATACGATTTGCTTGCAGAAAAAGAAACAGACTTTTTACAATCCTACTGATTACGGTGAATCGTTCATTCGTCCCGCAAAGTCTTCACCCTTATACTATTGATTGCAACTACTTTACAGGCGTACTGAAATTCTTCCACAACTACTTACAGGTGAATGATGTGAAAACGGAACGACGAGCAATATGTATAACTGCACCAACAACAACAAACATTAACGTAGACACTGCGCCACCAAACTATAATGAAGCCATTAAAATGTTGAGTCACTAACCTATTCAAGTATTTCACTGAATCGGACTTCAGAACTTTCGCTCTCCATCGTGTTGCCACACTGTACAGAATTTTGTTTTGCAACAAATAGATTGAAATTCATAAGCTTCAAGATCGGCTGTCAAGTTCAGCAGACTCGTAGAACACACAACGGCAACACATAAATGATTTATTACCAGTTACAGTATCGCATAACTGCGAAACACCGGTGTTGAAAACACTTGAGAAAACGATGCGCAAATAACAATGTCAATGTGATTTTGATGACGTGGAGAGGTATGTGCTATCAATACCGATTAGGACACCGACACTGGACACCCACTTTTTTCATTCATCAATTGAAAATATATGTGATTTTCGTATCAAAATGATTTTTTTTTTTTGCAAGTCTGACTACAAATCGTATCGAATTTCAAAAGGAAAATAATGGTAAAAAGAAATGATAACAAAGAAATGACGATCTTCGAAGCCAGTTTGTGGCCGTATTTCGAACGACCTTTGGCTACAATACTCTAAAATAATAACGAACGGAATCAACGTATCATACCATATACCCTGTTTGTATCAAATACCTGTAGGATGTAGAAGTACAATATGAACGAACGTTCAAATAAAATGAACAGCTGCAAACGAAAAAGAAATTAACAAATAATCACACAGCAATATTATAGAAGAACAGCAATATCAGGGCAACTAATATCTAATGTAATCAATAATTTTTCCTAACAGTTTGCGCAGAGATTGATACTTGAGTGTTAAAAAAATAGTGGTTAGTTCAAAGGATTCATCAGTTCACATGCAACGCAGCCATCCCTTTACTGTTTCTTTTTTTCAATTTTATATTTCGATTTACCACCACCGAACACATAAGCTTTGCAGAAAAAGTTGACGAAAAGAATCAAATAGGTAACATCCATGAAGAGTGCCAATTTGAATATGCTGTCATCGAAATCACAGTCTACCTAAAACAAGTTTACCTATTTTAAACCTAGAAAACTGTGCAACAAACACAGGGTATAAACCTATATTAAAAATATCGTTTGAATTTGAAAACTACAACAAACCAAGATTAACAAACCTTCCTGACATAAATTAATATTCCAAGGTGTGCAAGTATCAAAACACTGAGTACAAATTGAAGGATTTGAAGCGATGTTATGAACATGGCGACACCACGTGGAATCCGCATTTTCATGGAACACAAGAAATAGTAGCTAAAAGTGTAGTGGAAAATAACTACGACTATATAGTTGGAATATATAACGATGAAGACCAATAAAAAACAAACTACTTTATTACACAACCATGTAACATACCTGTACATGAACGCATGTACGAAAAAATTCATGAAAATGCCCCAACGGTTGAATCCAGGAGTATGCGGATACGAGTAAAAAGCATAAATGAGTGTAAGGATGTGGTGGTACCAGTGAAGAAACATGAGTGGCTTCTTTCGCAAAACTAGGAATACGGTATCAGCCAATTCAAATAACTTTGAAACAATGAATAGCCAACCCCAGAAACCATTCGACCCCTTGGTGAAGCCATAAACTTTGCAGTACGAAGCTGAAATCACAAAATAAAACACTGTAGCAGCTTAAATTAAATCTCATGCACCGTATAATTTCAGTTTTCTGTGATTCGCAAAACAATGATAACACCTCCCCCTTGTAGGAATATTTATGAACACTTAAACGATGAACTCCTAACCACGTCTGAAGTCATAAAAACAAAGAAAAAACCTTGAAAGCCATTATTCTGAATAGTTCCAATAAATTCTGGGAAAAGCATAACAGTCCCCATAATGCTGAACAATGCGAGAAGAGCATTCCAAATATTCAGTGGCAGTGTTAAATCAAAAGGTGACCGATTTCGCATGACAACATATTTTATTCCAAATATTACAAAGAAGTAAGCAAAGCACGCCTAAAACATGTCTTATTTCACGGTTAATTTACATTACGATAAAATGTGGTCTCCAAAAGTGAAATCCCAGAAGCAGCTGTTAATGAGTTGCGAGACTCAAAGTCCAAGTGGTTCAGTATGCTCTACTTTAATTTGAATTATGAAGATAAGTACTAATAAGCCATTTTGGAACCCCAACAAACGGAATGTATATATGGCAATTTCAAAAATGTTCTGTCGATGACAGGAAACTGAGAATTACCTGAATGGCGAAATTCTGATGTTGCAGCACCCATTCTTTAGATTCCTGCTCCGGAAATATAGGTGAGGTGATAATTTCAACAAAACGTCGTACATTTATCTTCGGTGCAGCAAGAACCTGCTCCTGTGTTACCATCTGAAACACCGGAACGAGCCTGGAACCACCACGTGGCTAAAAGCTGAACTGCAAAGTACTACCTTCACAAGGATGAAAACGCAAACCTCTTCCAACGATTGCTTGGTAGTACCTTCCTTGTCTAATCTCTCCACTCCAAACCACACATCAACCAACAACCAACCAACCAAACTAACGAAAATAACCAAAGCAACCAAACTAACCAAACCCACCAACCAACCAATCAACCGCTTCCTGTCTAAATTAATACTTTCAGGACTTGGATAGGTGCCAAAGTTTACCGCTTCAAGATGCATAGTAAGGGATTGAGGACAGATTACCCAATAGTTAGTGGTACCATCCTATGTGTTAGGTAGTTGGGAATCTGGTATGCTGCAGGAGAGAAGGGCTGTAGTGAATGGTTTATATAACGGTGGATGCAGATCTACCAATGTACAATGATGGGGCAGGGTGCTGTGGGTACACTATCTGTAATGGGATCTGAGGAAAGGTGAAGCAAACCTTCCCTCTGCTATGGTTCGGTAAAGAGTATGACAAAGTGAGGACGTAACTGGAATGCAACACAATGTAACAGAGAAGAGTAACAAGGAAAATGATGAATTTTGAAGACTGAAATACTACCAGTATTTGTTATCAGTCCAACTGATACAGTGGGCGGGCCAATAATGAAATCAGTGGTCGTTGAACCATTGACGAAAGGAGTAGTTGGTGGTGAACTGTGTTAAAAATGTCTGAAGGCCAAAGGTCAGCCATGATTCAACGCTTCTTCTGATTCGTCTCACTCGAACTACTTCCACTTTTACCTGCAATTTATTTGGGGACTAAGTCACATATATATTATCTTTATCCGCCTCTCTTGTGGTAAGGTAAGTTCACTGTTTTGAAATTCAGTTCATCGTGTAAATAAGGTCCAAAACGTCGTATTAAAAACTGATGGCATTTGTTATCGCTTTACTGTATTTGCATCGTCGTTTTGCTGTATTTTTTGGAATTAAAATAAAATTGAGGAATAATATGTTAAATTGAATCAGAGATTACAACAGTAAGTGAAATACGTTAATGAGGAAAAACACAAATCGCTGCATACTGGAGAGACAATGGAAAATGAGAAAGTGGATCAGTTTCAAGCAATTTTCTTGAAGGTGTCAGTTCTATATTTCGATTCATTTGCAGATGCGTGTGTGTGTGTATGTGTGTGTGTGTGTGTGTGTTGTGTGTGTGTGTGTGTGTGTGTGTGTGTGTGTGTGTGTGTGTGTGTGTGTGTGTGTGTGTG